ATCCTCATCTTATAGTGATGAGTCAAGAGATACAGCTCATAGGTAATGTGGAAGAAAACATGACAGAAATACATAAATTAAAATTAGAAAAGTAGCCAGCATAAGATTGAAAAATAATAATGTAATTTAACAGAAGGATGGAGGAAATACTGGGGGAGAATAAATGATTAAATCCTTGCTATCATGGCAGAAAATAAATAGAAGATGTCAAAAAAAATAATTTATTAAGAAATATCAGCATAATCATATTATTTAGAAATGCTAAGATGACAACTGGGACAAACAGCTGAAAAATTAAAAATGGATGCTTCTGGAGAGGGAGATGGAATAAGTAAGTCTTGTTTCCATTACAAGTAATTCTGCATAACTTTATTTTTAAATAAACCTATGTATTTCTTTAATAACTAAAAAATAAGATCAATTAAATACTTACAACTTCCAAAATGTAATAATAAACCTTCAAGGTTCTGAAATTGCTGATCAAAAATAAGTTTCCAACAGTAAGTATATTTTTCTTCAAGAATTTTACAAACTATTTCAGAGATTATAAAAATGAATTTACCTACAATGAAAGAATGAAAAATACTTATAAGTGTATCCTTAAATTATAGAATGAGGAGTAACTCATTGGGTAGTTCCTTGAGGAGAGTTCTAAAATTAGGCTACACAACAAAATCAATAGGATTTTTTAAAATATTCCTTATTAAATCAACTTCCTGGGATCCACCACCCAGGCACGTGTATTTCTAAAATAGCATCCAAGTGAATTTAAAGTGCCACCAAGGTTGAAAATCACTACCCTAAAAAGAGGGTTTATTTTGTAGTGTTTCCATAAGGAATCCCCTCCCAGCATTTCTAGAGTAATTTATATGTTTCTCTGGGATCAGGAGAAAACTCAGTTGAGAAATGGAGAAAATGGGAAAAGGTATAATAATTCTCTTGTAAGAATTAAAACACAACAATCAACCAAGAGACAACTTGGTTCAAAGAAATCTAATTGAGAGAGTGGTAGCAGGAAACAATGACAGGAGATTCAGAAGTTGAGGTCAACATTTCTGGGAGCTGAAGAGGAGCAGGAGAGAAATTTCCTGATCTGATAGGCAATATTGTTTGTGCCTATGACCAAGTTCTAAGTGTGTGTTCATATCCTTGTTTCTACTAACAGTAAATCATGCTTGCAAATAAAATAATCAATTTACATGCATAGTATAATTTAAACAAATTTAAACAAATCCTATGAATAATGTCCTAAGAAATAACAAGTTTAGGAAATAAAATAAGTCCTTACATTAGCTACTTTGGCACATGATCCTGTACAGTGAGTGACATTAACTTTACTAGGATTAAGAGCATTAAGCTATTTCAAGATAACCTAGTTTTCTTCACTGGTGTTTATGAGTGTTTGAATATGCACTATGGCTACAGTTTTTTGAAAATGCTACTAAATTTATTATTTTATTTATATTTGTAATAATTTACTTACATACCCATAAATACCATGAAGAATGCTGGAAATATTTTAAGAATCATTTATGATTTGTGTAATTCCAAAGAATTCCAATTTCTCATTGGCAAATCCCAGAGTAATATCTGCCAGGAATTTGGAAACATTACACCTCTCCTTTATATTAAAAGTATAAAAATTTAATAATAATAGTATAAAGTGATGAGTGCTTTAAAAAATCAAAAGTCTTCACACTTTTTTCAAGTGAGGAAGACTTCTTAACCAATGAGAACAATGGACTTTGGGGAGAGAGATACGTGTGAGATGGTGGGGGAGAAGAAGTATTGATAGAACATTGGCATTGGATCAATGAGGAAACAACTGGACAATTTCAGGGACTTCTGGAAAAGGTCTACATGTATTCAGTGACTAAAGAAGAAATTGAGGCAAGAAAACACCAATCCATCCCCCGGAATTCATAGAACTGAAAGAAAACATGTAGCAGCCATTATCGCACTAGTCCTCCATTTAGTCAGATTTTCTTTTTCCACTATTTATACAATAGAATAATCTTCAGTTCAAATCTTACAAGAGTGTTCTAGCAAGATTACCTTTATTTGTTAACAAAGAGATGATGATACCTATAGCAGAGAAATGTCCATCCATTCTTTGACGAGGCTCCCTCTTCTCTATTGAATTTGCAATTAAATTTTAATTAAAATTTTAATGAAATCTGAGATATAGAATGAGTAAAGATACTTAATATTAAAAACACTAGTACAGAAAAACTTGGTGAGTTCTATTTTCTTTTCTCAAATATTGACTATAATATAACCTACTGTGTTTATCTTGCTACCTCATCCTTCAAGAATCTGAGAACTAAGTACTACAATTAATCACAGTAAATAACATTAGGCATTTCTTTAGCCTAATTGTTTTACCCTCTTTTTTATTACTTGTAATTTGATAGTTCTGATTTAAATTTTATTATATTTCTGTGTTTTGTGGTAAGCCAACTCACTGGAGTACTAAGGAATAGAAGAGAACACATTTACTGAAAACATATAAGGTTCCATACAATTTTCATACTTTACTTAGTAAATACTAATAATAACCCTATGAGGTTTGTATTATTATTCCCATTTTACAGATAAGAAAACAGATTCAGATGGGTTTAATGAATTTGCAAAGCAAATTAGAGCTAATTATCTGTGAATCCAGAGCTGGAATTTAAACTTGGATGTTTCTTACTACAAAGCCTACATTTTTTCTACTGTACCACAGCACTTTTTCTTTTTTTTTTTTTGACTTTTTATTTATTTATTTTTTAACATCTTTATTGGAGTATAATTGCTTTACAATGGTGTGTTAGTTTTTGCTTTATAACAAAGTGAATCAGCTATACATATATATGGAATCTAAAAGAAAAAAATGGTTCTGAAGAACCTAGGGGCAGGACAGGAATAAAGATGCAGATGTAGAGAATGGACTTGAGGACACAGTGAGGGGGAAGGGTAAGCTGGGACGAAGTGAGAGAGTGGCATGGACATATATACACTACCAAATGTAAAATAGATAGCTAGTGGGAAGCAGCCACATAGCACAGGGAGATCAGCTCAGTGCTTTGTGACCACAACACTTTTTCTTTCCACAGGAACTGCAGTTACTGCCAGAGAATTGATGAAGCATGTCTTTCCTGGTTGTGATTACGGTATTATTAGAGTAGACTGCTATTTCTCTCACTCAAACACACACACACACACACACACACACACACAAACACATGCCTAGACTCTAAGAGATGCATGAGCAAAGACAAGGTACAGGAAAAGCAAAACATTCACACAATTGGTGGTGAGCCCCTGCTTGACTTTTGCAACAATGACATTTTCGTTCACTCTTACATTAACCTAGGAAAGCTGCAGAAGGTCTAGGGTACCATGCAAAGCAGAGAGAAAGTGAGGGTCCTCCCCATCTATACCCTCTGAAATCAGAGCTGAAGAGGTAGAGAGCGGTATAAGATCAATTAATCAAAGGTTTCCCCAAAATTCTGGCATACGAGAAGACTGAAATCTTTTAAAATTTTCTCTATAATGTTGTGGATCTATCCAAAAAGAACAAAAACAGGAAAATTTCTCTCTCTACTGCTATACTGCCGAAACTGAATGGGAATATTAAAATCTGTGAGAGGGCAATCAGAATGGGTGAGTGTACAAAATTAAACTAAATAAATAAATCTGAAATGTTATAGTAAGTGAATAAGGAACTATAAAATATAAATTTTCTACAAATGAAACTTCTCTATTATGGTCTCTTTCTAGGGACAGAAAAGGAAACCACATTCACATAGCTTCAATTATCTTTCACATAATTGAAAAGATACTGTAAGGTAGCTATTAGAGCAACTTGCTAACTATGATAATGATTCAATCAAAGCAAATGCTATTAAACACAATGAAACATTATAAATGATTATAATTAGAGAAGCACAATTTAAATAATCCATAAAATTTTTTTAAATGATAAAACTACTCTTATAGGACTTACAGCTCCATTTGTTCCTCTTCTCTCCTAGCTGGTAAATTTGTCTAGCTACTTATTTATTAAAGTGCTTTAATCAAGGGAACCGCTCCATCATCACATTTCATTAAAGGTAGTCTTGAGCTGAGCACAACAGAAGGAGGTCATGATTGAACTGCAGAGCTTCCCTACAATTAGGCACTCACTAAAATGAAATGACTCTATCACTGATTAAATAGATTTTTATAGTTAAATAGGCTTTACTTAAACTAGTAAAACTGACTGACAAAAATATGCTCTTCTGCCTTATTCAGCATTAGCAAGTCCCTGTTTCCATCTTGAAATTTTCACGTATTTTTAAACATTTTTTAAAAATTCTGATAGGTTTTTTTCCTATATGCAGAGCAATTATATATTTTTAAAGTACTCTATAAGGAAGGCTCAATTAATCATTTTTAGGGGCTCTTCTAAAAGGTAGGTCAAGACTACCCTTTCAGCTGCAAATGGAGAAGAAGGCACACTAAGTTCAAGTAAATTGATCAAGGTCCAATCATAAAAATAATTTATGAATGGATGTTTTTAAATTCCAGGGTGCTATCAAAGAATTTAAAAGAAAGCATTGTGTGAAATGAAGCTCTTTCATTATTCCTCTAATAAAGATGTTTAGCATGATGCCTCAGAACCAAGAAGCTGAAGATAGCCAGAGGTGTGAAAATATGAGGAATTATAGGATTAATAATCAAATAAACTTTTAGCAACTACAAAGACCAGACCTAATATACAGTTCCCTCCTCAGGGCCATGGCCTGGTTCATAAGCCATGAACTCGCACGGCCTCTACATGTATTATACTCAGTTAATAGCTTTGTAAGTCAATTTACAGAATACATTACCTATAACTTAAATAGCTCTGTCAATGTTGTCAACTTACACATATAACCAGAGATTATTTTTTGAAATTATTCTTATTACCAGAAATAATTAATAAAACAGTATACAATAAAGGATCTTAGAAAAGCAATGAAAGCTGTGCTCACCCATCTAGATATGAACTCTGCATTTCAGTATGCTTCTCAGTACACATCTCAGAGAAGTCTTGTTGATGATATCTGTAAGGAAAACAGCCTCTTAATTGATTCATCTCTCAAACCAGCCCCAATTTTTCTGTTAGAAATTAGAGCCAACAGAAAACTATATAAGTTATTGACAAGGAGTGTCATCAACCCACTAATCCAGACAGTGTTTAGTAATTCTTTAGTGCAGATTAAGACAACAGAAATTGGAAAGACAAGAAAAAGAATGAAAGACACATTAAAAAAAAAAGCAACTGAAAGTTTTTTAGATTATCCATTCATTTGTAACATGAATATCTATTGAGTGTCTCTTTTGTACTAGGCACCAGAGATACTATGGAGAGAGAAAAAAGGCATAGCCCCTGCTTTGGTGGGGCTTACCATTTATGCCAGAGAAATATTCTTTAATTCCACTTAATTGCTTTTGAAATTAGAAATACAGAAGAAAATATAATGAAGGCAAAATTTCACTCCTCTTTCTTCCCCTTTCTTGCTAGTCATCTGAATCCAGTGGGAGTGACCTCTGTCAGTTATTTAACTTCTATGTGCCCGTGTCCTTACAATAAAATGGAAGCAATAACTGCACCTACCTTAAAAGGTTATTCTGAAGAGTAAATGAGTTAGTCAATATAAAACACAATATAGAACAATGTGTGGCATATAGGAGGACTTAATAAATGTTAGCAACTTGCTATTATATTTATTATGATTTTTTTTTTAAATTTATCTGACATATCCTGAAGTGGTCAAGGCAAAAGTCATAAGAGATAGTAACTACCTCCATGTTACAAAGCCCTGGTAAATAAAGAGCTAGCTCATTTACAGAAACCCCACATCAGGGGTTTTCACATGTGCAGGATAAGTTTTACCCACCACAGAACTGGGAAAATCTGTTCTGGTTAACTGGTGGCACAAAACAGCCAAGGGTTATTTGCATAGGAGGCTGAGAAGCACTTGCAGGGGAAAAAAGTCACTCATCAATAGAAATGAGAATGCTGCACCCACAAATTTGGTGCAAAGCTACTGGGCCAGAATAAAGATGGTGAGGTGATGGTGAGCACTGCAAATATCTCACTCAAACTGCTCGTCAGTCCAGTCCCTGGACTCTTGCTCCAGTCTTACAATGAGATACACTAACAGAGGGAGTAAAACATAAACTCTCTTCCCCCCAGTTGGATCTCCATGGGAAAGTTCAAGGTGTCAGCAATATCAGTGTCAGCAGATTCCTCTAAGATGGGCACTATGGACAGTAGAGGGGCCCTTTGCAGACCTGACTGGTCCAAATGCTGCTTTTGGTTCTAGAACCCACAGGAGCTCCTCCACAGCAAAACAATGCTGAGGAGAGCACCCACAGCAAGTACCCCCAGGGTGACCAAGAGCAATTGGTTCCCAGAGGTCATATGAAACATCCTCTTTGGGAAGCCCAATGCATTTGGGTCTAGACTTTCTGCAAAATAGGCATAGTTTATCCACAGAAATGCCAATTTGTATCTGTTACTTTGATGCTATTGTTACCCTCAATTTGTGTGCTTTAGGATATTCTAATTCTGTTCTTTAAAAAGCACTTTAGAATTTTTTAAATAGGTAAACATTTAAATATGTATTATTCAAGTGTTTTGATTCCTACTTAGAGTTTAGAAGCAGCAATATTTTTCTCATTTATTTTCAGTAGAAAATAAACCTTACTTCCTTTCCTGGGAAGTAAAAAAATCCTTTGTGTCGTTTTTTACAGAAAATAAGCTTTACTGTCATGAAGCAATTCCCCACTCTGCATCATTTTTGGTACATTGATAATACTTTTAACTTGGGTTGTGGTTTACTAACTATAAGCACAAAAGATGTTGCTTTCTAATATTTGTCTCCAGGGTAAAATAAATTAATCCAGGAGATAGACTCCATTCTTGAGCAAGAGATGGCTACTTCTAGACTGGGGGAAATTTGAAAGTTAAAATTAGACACACTCAGCTCAGTGCCTAGCTTTTGGTCTCCTGCTAAACTGAGTGATTTTTAAGTAAGTGTTTTTAACAAACATGTTAAAACATGGTTCCAAGTGAGTGCTCTCCTTAAAAAAGTTCATATATTTGAGAACTAACCACTTATTCCAATAAACGTTGTTACTCAAACCTTTATTAGAATTCATTTTGGTAATTTTTAGTGCTAGTTTACAAACTATACAAAGCACCAGACTCATCAATATAAATTATATGGTCCATCCTGATCTTCAGTTTAACTATCAGATTTAGTTCAAATCCCTTCTGACCTCTTCAGAAGCATGGAACCCACCTAAGTAAGAATAACCTTCACTAAAGTTTTTCAGGAGAAAATTCCCTGAAAGACATAACTAAGGAGATTTGCAGGAATGTGCTGAGTAATAATGAAATAGTTATAAATGTTTGTAATCTCCTGATAAATTTTAAGAAGCAATATTCTCATTTGTACAAGCTTAAAAATGTGCATTACAGGATACATGTAATTTACAAATTTCCATAAAAAACATGAGTCTTGGCAAGGCCAAAACAAAAATTTGTATTTTGGAGTTGGTCATTTTGAAAACTGTGGCCAAACAATTTTAAAAGTTGGCAACTACTTTATACAAGCCCTTTGTAAAATCTTTTTCTGTGATTAACTTTTGCAGTTGGGTGTTTTCTGGTAAAAAGAAAAAGTCAAACCAGTGACATACCACTAGCTCTACCCTCCTGTCCACAGCCCTCCTTGACTTCAGGTTTAGTATATTGGATCTTGTTACTGGGTTGTCTATGCACGGTGATCTGTGTACAGTCGGCCCTTTATATCCATGGATTCTGCATCTGTGGATTCAACTAACCTTGACTAAAAATTCAGAAAGTTCAAAAAAGCAAAACTTGAATTTGCTGCACACCAGCAACTATTTACACAGCATTTACATTGTATTAGGTATTGTAAGTAATCTAGAGATGATTTAAAGTATACGGAGGGTGTACCTAAATTATATGCAAATACAGCACCATTCGATATAAGGAACTTGAGCATCTGCAGAATTTGGTAATGGAGGGAGCCTCTGGAACCAGTCCTCTGTGGTTACCACGAGACAACTGTATAGAGAGAATTGTTATTTCCTAGGTAGCTTGAGTTAGCTTTTAAGTTTATATGTTTTGTTTTACTTCTAAAAGTCCTGATACAGATAGACCCAAGTAGGCTAAAAATCAAACTGACTACGGAAGTTATATTTTATCAGTGTATTAGATGAACTTTTCACTCTTAATGGGAAAGTGAGTCCCTCAACAATGTATGTACCAACCTGTGTCAGTAAGGAAATTCAGAAAGCCATATTTCTGATAAAAGGCATGTTTTCTTAGAGAGGGGCCCATTCACAAAGAACATGAATAGACGTTTTTCTAAAAAAGACATACGGATGGCTTTGAAAAGCCATGAAAAGATGCTCAACATCACTAATCATCAGGGAAATGCAAATCAAAACCACAATGAGCTATCAGTTCACAACTGTTAGGATGACCATTAAAAAAAAAAAAAAAGAACAAGAGATGACAAGTACTAGCAAGGATATGGAGAAAAGGGAACATTTATGCACTATTTGTGGGAGTGTAAATTGGTGCAGCCACTAGAGAAAACAGTATGGAGGTTCCTCAAACAATAAAAAATAGAACTACCATATGATCCAGCAATTTCACTTCTGAGTATTTACCCAAAGAAAACAAAAACAGTAATTTGAAAAGACATCTGTACCCCAATGTTCATTGCAGCATTATTTATGATAGCCAAGGCATGGAAATAACCTAAATGTCCACCAGTGGATGAATGGATAAAGAAAAGAAATTATGATATACAGACATGTCACACACACACGCGCGCACACACACACACACACACACACACACTGGAATATTATTCAGCCATTTTTAAAAAGAAGGAAATCCTATCATTTGCAACAGCATCGATGAGCTTATAGGGCATTATGCTAAGTAAAATGTCAGACAAAGAAAGATAAATACTATATGATCTCACTTACATGTAGAATATAAAAAAAAGCAAACTCACAGAGACAGAGTAGATTGGTGGTTGCTAGGGTCAAGAGAATGGGGGAAATGGATGAAGGTGTTCAAAGTGTACAAACTTCCAGTTATAAGATGAATAAGTTCTGATGATATAATTTAAAGCTTGGTGACTACAGTTAACAATACGTATTGCATATTTGAAAGTTGCTAAGAGATTAGATCTTAAAAGTTCTCATCACACAAAAAAAGTAACTGTGAGGCGATGGATGTGTTAACTAACCTTATTGTGGTAAACAGATCGCAAAATGCATGTATATCAAATCATCATGTTGTACACCTTAAACTTACACAATGTTATATGTCAATTATATCTCAATAAAGCTGAAGATAAAAAGAAAGGGGCTCATTCATCTATAATAAGGGAGAAATAATAACTTGGGCTTCTGCCACAGTCTTTGGATCAGACTGTCTGACCCAGAGGTCTGATGCATAATAGCTTTATTACAAACAGCAAACTCACCACCGTTTGCCCATGAAAGTCAGCAGATTCTGGCTGCACACATGAAAGCAGAGGATGGGCAATCTACTATTGACATATAGAAGATGTATGTGAATGCAGCCCCCTGATGATCAAGAAGAAAGCAGGAGCTGGAAGACTACCAAAAGCAAACAGCTTTCCTTCTCTCTGCAGGCATGTATGCAAAATAAATCATTCCTGAGATGGTGATTAATGTTTTATATTCTCCTACTTCCCCTTCCAAAAGAATTAAATTAACATACATCTAGTTATTTATGAGACTGAGTTCTTACTACCTTCTCAAATGCTAGTTTGCTATTTATGAATACGGTTAGCTGCTGTGCTTTTTACATCTCTTTAATGGCCTTGATGATGGTGAAGACTTAAGACGTTTTGTGTTTTCTCCATTAAGTGGGCTTTATTTATCTTAGATGTCCCTGAGATGGGGGGGGGGCAGCGATCTGACAAACAGACCCATTCCTGTGCTCCCCACTCTTTCCCTCCCAATGGCTGGTAGGGGTGTAGTCCCT